GTTTTTAGAAAACAATGACCTTGGTGAAGGTGACTTAATATGTCAATAAAATGTGATGTTTATTAAGGACTTTGTGTCAGTACTAAGCCGATGTTACATTACAGAACAATCACACTTCTGTTATCTGTATCAAGAGCTTTGTTTTTCTGCAAAAATATTTTGCTACAGAATCACATTGTTGCCTCTTAGGTTTTGCTTGGTTTTGACTGGCTGTATGGATCTGCTGATCAAGGTTTTGGCAAGCTCCATCAGATCACTAAGAGGTTGAAGGACGTTGAGGAATGTTTATTCAAGCGTTCACCCAGTTTTATGTTAGAGGAAATGACCAGACTATGACAAACTACCATTTGTGAAATGTATAATTGCAAATTTTTGTACCATTAATGTCTTTTCATTGCATGTCACTACGATTATGATGACAACCTTAAAACTTTCTCATTGTCTTCATAAACGTCAATTTTAGAGTCCATCAAAATTTTAATATATATAATTTCCAAAGTTTGACCATTCTTGAAGAATAGATATCCAAGAATAGTATGAAATGAAGATAATTGATGAAACACATTTTGGTGTAATTGATTTGAAAATAATTCTTTTATGTCAGAAATACTATTAAAAACCATAGTACTTAATACTTTTACATGGTTAGGCATAAATTGTAGCATATTACATGTCAGGATGCTTTGATATAACCTGAATTCCACAGGAAGGGTTTCATTGTTTGGCAAAGCATATTCCACATGTATCATAAAATGGTATCAGGTAATGAGTTTTGTAAATGGAATCACCTTTTCCTAGTTGTGAGTGGTTTATAGCCTCCGAATCAGCATGTGGAAGATAAGGACTTGGTAGAGGATAGATCCCTTCAGTCCTATCAAGTACGACCCAGGAACTAAACTTGGGCCAAGGCTTGGGGTTGTTCATATCTCTCAGCTTTCAAACTGACTTTTTTATGACTTTTGCATTGAAGCAGGTAACAGAAATCTCAACCAGTACAAGATATTTCAGGGTTTGACTGTTAAATTTTACACATTAGGAGTTACTCTTTACATGTTTTCAAAACTTTTTTTAGAGGATGGAGATAATTAGATTTTACACATTAGGAGTTACTCTTTACATGTTTTCAAAACTTTTTTTAGAGGATGGAGATAATTCAATTTTACACATTAGTACGTAGTTAGTCTTTACAACTTTTCAAAACTGTTTTTTGAGGATGGAGATAATTAGATTTTACACATTAGGAGTTAGTCTTTACATGTTTTCAAAACTGTTTTTAGAGGATGAAGATCACTATATTTTACAAATTAGGAGTTACTATTTATATGTTTCCAAAACTAATTTTAGAGGATGAAAATTATCAAAAGAGAGGTTTTGTGATCAGTTGAGTTGATTTGCATGTATATCTTTTCCATAACAGAAGTTTTTATGCCGAGTAAGGCAGCTTATTTCTGTAGCAGAAGTTTCATACCAAATGTGATAGACCAGTTCATTTATTATACTGATACTGAAACTTCATTAGAAACCTTCTTTTTGAAGTACATGTAAAAGAAATGTCTTGTTACTTTTTTCCTGTAATAAGCCCAGGGGCCCTACACATTGCATGGTAGACTTATTACGGGGCATTGAAACAGTTTGTCATTAAATCTGCAGAGTATGTGAATAAAGAAAAATGAATAGAAATAAAACACCTCTGTTTTACATGGATGAGATTATTATCAGGCACAGACTTATTGTAGGTATTCGCTCGGTGGAGTCAATCCAGTCAATTCTGTAAACTTTATTCTCCAACTATGTCCATCATTATTTGTTTCTATGGTGTGTTTGTATCTGTGAAGTTATTGTGTGTGGTTTTTTTTTATTTGTATTCTAAACATATGCTGGAATTATAAAACTTTTTGAAATTCTTCTTAATGACTAAAAAATGACACTTGAACTACTTCCTTTTGTCCTTTCCTTGGTTATGGATATTCTGCGGCTAAAGTCTCTTTATGAATCAATTTAAACTAAGGTGTTGTGTTGGACCCTGTTGTGAGGTCAAGTGGCGGGTGGTCAGGTGGATTAGCTAGAAGACAACCATTACTGGGTGTGGTGGTGAATGTGCTCTGTACCATTATGTGGTTTGGCCACAATTAAACTTGGTCCTGTATATGCCACCCTCCACATCTCTTACTACTGGACAGGTGACATAAAAGTGCTCTCTCATTCATCCGTTGTAGGACTTTACAATAGCTGTTGAGCCAAACTCTGTTCATTTCACAGAGGTGTTAGCAGGGGTCTCTGTAATTCATGTTCATTGATGCACAGGCTGACTGAGAAGTTAGGTCAACGAATACTAAGAAAACTATAATTTTTACCTTTTTCACCTTCATGGAAAAGAAATTGTCATATTTTTGTAGTTTCTGATACTGAAACTTTGTTGATAGTCATCATGTATGAGTTTTGTTGTCCAATGCCATAGGTAATGGGTACTTGACATTTTAAGTTAATGAATTGTTTCATGAATGAAAGTTTAACCACACAACAAGCAATCTCTCCGTTTAAAAAAATTGCATGTCTACAGAACATTTATTTGAAAATTTGTGACAGAACTTTTAAACTTGTCGAAACATTTACATTGATGGAGGCTGCCACTTCTCCGGAAAATGGTTCCTCTTGTCACTGAGATCTCATGTGAAGAAGGAATGAAATTAGTCCCTGTGCTAAACTTGTTTTTAAACCGTTTAAAAGAATCAGTCTGAATGGTGTTGTAGAGTTTGTACTGGAGGAAACGGGAAGTTGTAGGTGGTGATTCCACTAACGACTTTCACCCTTGACCCTGTATTGTTATCTAAAAACTACATTGGGTGTAGGTGCGGGTTGCGATGCCAGTCATTGACATAGGCCATAGGTGTATGGATATTGGACTCTGAAGTTGTGTTGTTACTACTTTAGCACTCTGTACATTTTTTATGGATTCAGTAGAAAGTAAACTGATACAAATTTCTGAGAACAAAGTTATGTTAATATCTGTAAGTTATAAAGATATCCTTCATTTCTGTCAGAGATTATTAGCTGTAACTATAATTAAAAAAAAAACAATATGGAAAAATTCAAAAATTGTTGAATTGGAAAACTGAGAAGAATCATCCAAAAATGTTCATTAGGCATTGTGATAATTAACAGATATTACATATATGACCTCATTATTTGTACAGAAAAAATTCTCCAAATATCACTTTGTTTTGGAGAGAAGAAATACACTGACAGGAAAAGTAAGACAGTCAAGTAAACAAGGTTGATCGGTTTTGGGTTTGATGGACAGGCCTAGGACATGGCTTTGCCTTAGTACACAAAAAGCATGGCCAGTGGTGTTCCCCACACAAGGTACTATGATAGTGTAGAGAAACAGGTCGACCAACTCACTGTACCTAGCATGTGGATTGTATAGTGTGCCTGGAAGCTAGGCAAAGAGAGAGGGCCACACACAGAGATGTGGTTTATTTGCTATTCCGATCATGTGGACCAATGAGAAAGGACTCCCCCACCTGTGACGTGCTAGTTTGAGGTCTTGCTAGAGGCAGCGGAGGTTTATATACACTACACAAACTAAAGTATAACATCCAGTAGCTAAATCTTGTTGCCTCTTTCAGTATGGTGTTACAAAATGTAACTAGGACAAAAGTAAACAATTTGATTTGTAGGTCTAACTTACTTTACTCTCACTGGTCTTGTAGTTGTCTGCCATTAGGTTTTGACAAAAAACTGTGGAGTTTAATGTGTGACGGAGCAGAATTGATTCATTCAAGCTCCAGATGTTTTATTAGCTTAATGTATTAGAAGAAATGGTGTGGTACAAAGTACAGTAGCCACCATATCCCACACTACACTAGTGTTACAACATTTAATACGCCTTGGTGGTGTTCTACCTCCAAGAGGGCAGCGAAGGTCCCACTCCACAAAGCTTCATTACCCTTGTGATACAAACATTACCATTCCCAACATCAGCTGCATTACTGAAAAATTTACATCCATGATACACTGTTTGGTAGTGATATTGATATCTACAAGTATGTGAGTTTTCAACATAGTTTATGGGTATGAAAAAAATCATTTAGTTTTTGAGTTAGTTGAGATAAGCTGATGGAATATCAACAAAGACTGGTTTATATACATATATATGTAATAGAGATTTGAAGTTTTAAAAAAAGATTTTATTAAGCTGTTTATTTTTATCATTTATTTAACGGAAAAAAATATTAAAGAACTAGGAATTTAAACAGCTTCAATTTGTATTAAATCCAAGGAGGTCTATGTGCTTTAATTGAAATTTCCTTACGATGGAGGTGACGTTTTTAGGGTGAATCACCGGCTCAATAAGCATTATGTTTGAGATGTCAGTGTTATTTAGTATCAAGGTGTATGAAAGGATGGCGATGCCACCTAGAATGTCTGGTGTTATTTATGAAATGGGAATTGCTTTCGGTCATGACCAAGCTTCATAGTAGCTCAGCAATGACATGCTGTTTTCTTTGAGACGGTTTTGTACACCTTGTATAAATAGAGACATACAGAAAATAGGTCTTCTGTGACAATTTCCTGTCAAGGCTGAACAATATCTTTATGGCTAATTGAAAAAAGAAGTTGATGTGCTTAAAGACACATTTTTGTAATCATTTTAATTTTCTGTCATAGATTGACAGAAAAAGAACTTTGGTTTTATAAGTATGGAGAAAAGTTGGTTTACATGTCCTGTGAATCATATATGTGAGGACTTTCTAGTCAGGCCCTTTATTACAGTCTATGATGTTTACAAATTATTTCTTATTTGACAAAAATAATAGTGATTCTATTGATGTGGAATTCAACGTGAAGACTGTCTTGATACAAAAATTAGTACATTAAATCATAAAATTCAAACACTTTTTATGTAATTGTTTTAATTGTTTGATGTGGCATTTTGTTAGATTTCACTAGAGTTTTGATATGTTGGTATAACGGGATTTTGTTATTTTTTCTTACAGAGGGAGGTCGTTTGGAGGAAGAGTTGGATTATACACGAAATACTGTAAATACAGGAAGTGGAATTACTAGTGAACTTATTATACAGACTCCTAAAGTAAAGGGTAGTAATTTATTAGACGTGCAATCGATGCAGCTTCATTTAGAAACATTACGAAAAGTTACACAGATTGAAGTGGATATGTTTGAACAGTAAGTATTAAAAGAGTGAGATGAAAAATTACTTGATTTCAGAAATAAAATATATTTTATAACAGTAAATATGGACTCAAATCTCAAATTTTGTTTTATACAAAAGTGTAAAGATAGGTTTCACATCAAACATAGATATATTTTTCTTCCAATAGGGTTTTTTATTTGTCACAAAACTTTCTTTGTTTTTCAGATCATGGAATTTTAAAGATTTGTGTTTTGTAGCTGATTTTCCAGAATTTGAGGACTTGTATTTAAATGGAGTAAGTATCTAAATTCTCAGTTTTTTTCTAGTCATTTTACTCAATTAAAATATGTAATACAACAAAGAGAAATTTAAGAAAATATCAAATTTCTTTTAAAGAAATGTTTTTATTGTTTTAAATGAGATTTTTTTTTTGTTAAATTTCAGATTTTAAGCAATATAGAACCATGTATTATTATGACCCCATTAGACTGTTTTTGGGATGGTTCCAAACTTTTGGGACCTGAACGAGATTTCCATCCAGAGTTGTGAGTATTAGTTTTATCTTGTATACATTTACAACAAATCAAGGAGATTAATTTGTGCAGTTTGTTAATTAGTCATGACAGATTCAACAACATCATTGCCATAACATAACGCTATGAAGGAAATTTCGATAATAGATTTCCAGGTCTGATTTAGATATTGCCTAATGATTTCATGGCATCAATCTAGGTATAATCAAGGTTTAGCAACTGTACTGTCATTCTCTTTAGGTAAAACTGGAATATGTTTCTTAATTTGAACCTCACTGTATTGTTTAAAATTTGGTTAAAAGCAGAGTTAATTTTCTTTCCAAAGAATAATTTTTTATGATATGATGATTTTCAGATAATTTTATATGAAATATATGAAGGCTATGAAAGTGCCATGTAGTTTTTCATTTGGAAAGTAGGTTAAAAAGAAAACAAAATGGGAAGAAAGCATCATTTCTCTTTTTATTTAAGAAAATATAAAAACTGAATTTTGTCTGGAGAGATAAGAGATGTAGTAACATAAGCTTATCTTGGCCTCCGTAATTGAGGTTATTTGACTGACAATAACTACCCCGGGGAATTTAAAGCTTATCAGTTAAACTAGAAAGTCAAAAACTGTACTTGCATGCTCCAAGGCCTGGAGGAGTAATCATCTGCTCTTGTCCAGTTAGTGCCTGGCGGACACCTGCTCACCATTCTAATGGTCAGTTTGTGGGTGGTCAGTATAGCTGGGTTGACAGATTTCTACCAGATTGTATATATAAATGATAACAGAAGTGGTGTAAAGTTCATTTAATGCTTGCCTTCCCTCCAAGTGCTCCATGCAAAATAGATAAAACCTGCCCTAGCTTGCCTGCAAATCTGAAGCGCTATACCAAGGACCACCATTCAAGATTTTTTTCTTTGGCGAGGCTTGAAGGATAAGAAGTTTTGATCCATATAATATCAGGCGGCCATTATAGTTAGGGAGTGTTACAGTTAGAATTTATAGGCAGCCAGGAGTCCTTGACAAAGAGGGTGTAAATGAATGAGTGACTGCAATTCAAAGCAGGTTCACAGTGTGCTAGGGAGTAGACGGCCATATCCTCTAACATACCAGACGTAGCATGGAGCTGTGTTTCTCATACCATTTCAATAGGGTTGGGGGCAAACTTCTAATGAAACTAGTGTGTAATTCCTCTTCATTAACTGAGCTCATTGTTTGGGCATAGCTTCACTAAAAACTGGTTTGAGGAGATGGAACGGTAGGAGATTATACCTCTGTCTTATAAATGACACTTCAATAGTGCAAAGTCAGAAACTATGTATATCTTCAAAGGCAGAAACATTGGTACTTGGTTATATGTGTTATGAGGTTGCATTTCTGTTTTTGTAAACTTTCATAACCAAAACCAAAAATATTTAATACAGATGTCTAAAACAATTAGGTTGATCTGCATTGTTATTGCTTCATATGAATTTGTTCATTAGTTCAGAAGATTGAATTAATATTACATTAGTCTGATTTTAAGTTGAAATGAAATACTGGTTAAGCAATTAATATCAAGCACCTGCAAGAAACTTTGGAATACAAAAAACAGAACTTGTTAGCTCTCAGACTATAGAAAAGTAAATGTAAGAAAAATAAAGATAAGCATACGGTAATGTTTAATTTCACTGATAAAAGAAGTTTGTTCTCTATAGCAGTAAGGTAGGTGTCTTCACAGGATAAAACCATTACACAGAGAGATACCAACTTAATGTTTACATAGCTGGGAGTTTCAACTGGAAATGTGAAGAATGAGAGCTCTAGGATAAGGGTAAATTGTGTAGATGTGGGTGGTCTAGCGGAGGTCAGGTCTTCTTATGTATGCTAATGGAAGGCAATTTTTTCTGTCTCCCCTTTCCTGAGCAGTGGGGGTTTGTTCTCTGTTAGTGTTGGAGATGGGTATCTGTATGTGGATTCCTCTCATTTCATTGGCTATTCCTGATCTACCAGATTCAAAACAGTTGTAACTGTTTAGATACCAAGATCTTCCACCTATCTGATACCAGTTGACAAATCATCTATTAATCTCAAAATTTATAGGTGAATTTTTTTATCATGGATGTGATATCTTTTACTTTATATATAGACTGATACTCAGAGGTAGGCAAAACCCCTTCAGATTTATCAGTATTTCAAGCCATGTGCAATGCTTTTCCCAAACTTGTGTTTATAGAATGTGAGTTTCCTGTTTACTTCACTAGTTTATAGTTATCCCTTTAAAATGTTCATTACTTCAGATCTGTTTGAAGTGTATTTTTTTGGCAGAAATCAATTAAATTTTTCAATTTCAATATAATTTCATTCAAATTGTTATAAACAAGAGGAACCTGTTGTAAGCCTTCTTTTACTAAATAACTTGTTCAACTCGTAATTAAAAAATCCCACAAAAGTCCATCATGATTTGTTATGAGAAGTAATTTTAGAAAAAATTGTATCGAAACTTAAGATAAAATGAAGGCAGAATCCTGTTATAAGTGTTTTTGTCTATGAACTTTTAGCCCAGTTTAAAATTTGTATCTTGGTTGCTAGCCTTTGTCATAGTAATCTCATCATTATCAAACATCAAAGTAGAAATACCAACCAGTGTTATTTCTGTGTCCTTCAATAAGCCCGCCCTGTGTATTTAGAAAGAGGAACTGCATTGATCCTCTGGGCTTATTGCAAGATATAGTACTTCTATAAACAGTCCTACGTTAAATGGTATTGAAATCCATAACTGCAACATATACACTGTAAAGTAATTAATTTTTGTGGGCTGTTTATTTTCATTCAGTTTGTGGGTACTCAAATTACACAACTCCATATGTCCATGATATACAGATAAAAGATACCATAGATAATGAAATCAAATACTAACTAAAATGTATATTTTTGGAAAACTACAAAATTGCAGTATGCATGTGTTTTAAATGATAATGAAGGATTAGATAATTGCTGTTTTGAAAGAGGACATAGCTTCCATATTACAGTAATTCTACCATACTAATTGCCAATTTACTTTTGCTTTTTTCCAGAGGTGTTCCATTGATGAAATGGACAAACTTGAACCCAGAACAGTTTATAAGTATGATTGGAAGTCCAATTCCAGATGTTTATATAAATGCTATTGAAGAAGTTATGAAAAGAGTAAGTATTTCTAAGTCTGTACTACAAAAACTTGATTAGAAAATACTTCTGTAGTTTTGATAGGTTATGTTCCATTTAACAATGATTATGAGGTGAATGAAAGTTATGAAGTGTTTCTACTTTTAAGAGTTAAATTTATGAAGAGTTAAATGATTTTGTACAAGGAAATATTGTAAATTATGTTTATTAGGCTGCAGGATAAACCCAGCAAACAGACTAAGGCTTATCAAGAAAAGTTTAGATCTTACATATTCAAATTATACATAACTAATTATACTCATTATGTTTTACAGGCTGGAGTGACTACAGCTTACCAAGAAAAGCCATGTTTAGATCCTACAGATCCAAATTGTCCTTCACTGGCACCAAACAAACATTCAAAGGAGGTAAGTACTCAAAACATTTATTTCTTTATATCTTCTTCTGGAGGAATTTTCATCTCTGTAAAAAAAATGTTTAGGTTAAGTTTGATATGATAGACTGTTGTTAAAGCTAGCTTAACCACACAGCCTAACACTTGTTAAGTTCATTCAGGATGCTTACCTGGAACTGTTTGTATCTGTATCAGTGGATGGGTCTCCTTTTAGTCCTCTGTGTAAGTAAGGGCAGATGAAAATCACAACAAAGGATCTTTATCTCCTGCCTGGAAGGACAAGTGGTCACAATGTATTAGCTTGGAATGATGGAAAGTGGCTATGGTATATAGAAACATCTACATCTTTTCAAATGGATATAAATCCCTAAACCATGAAATCTTTCTATATAAACAAAACATAGACCTCTATCTGCCAGCCATCTAAAGTAAATAAAAAACATGAAAAGATTGTAGTACTACAAATTTTTTATTTGTTTTTTTCTTAATCTAAAATTGTTTATGTAGATAAACATAACTTTTTTCACGGACACGAGGAGGACATTTTATTCGATAAGTAAATGACTTCGAATGAATGTTTAAGTAGTGCGTCACTAAGTTAAGGGAGATAATTTGATTCTGTGATGAAGTTTGAGAGGCTTGGTATTAACCTCATAAACCCAGTAGGCTTGAAGTCTGGTCCATGTTAAAAAACACACAAAACATCTTTAGATATATCAAGCTTAATGTCTTTCTTATGGGATAAAATTCATATTTCAGGAGCTTTACTTTTTTTAAGTTTTTAAACCCAAAATGGCATTTTAATAATCATTGAATCTTTTTTTTTCCTGCTGGTCCTTTTCACAATGTTGTTTAATTCAGGGCATGTTTTTTAAAAGTAAAACATACAGAGATTCTGTGCGAGTGTTTTTTAGTGTGTGGTTTTGATAGGTAGTTTGAATGAGTATGTATTACAACGTATCTAGGTCAGAGTGTTTTGTGAGAGAGTGGGGAAGGGGAGGAGGTATAACACTGCAGAGATCTAGAGGAATGGTGTAGTAGGAAAGGAATGCATGGGGAATCGCAGGGGCCATAAAATGTGTAAGGAAAAAACCTTCAAGCCAACAAACATAAATCTTGGATCTAAATAGGACAGGCACTGGTGGCCCATGTTAATTGGTCTGTACTGATGCTAGCACCTCCAAAGCTCTATCCCTCGCTTACTGATGAAGATAAGGACAACAGTTATAGGAAAGGGGTAACACAACATTCAGGGAAATCCTGAGGAGGAATCAGTCACTCTCTTAAAGAATGGAAAAGGGATGCATTTTAGAGGGTGTGGTCAACTTACCCAAAGAACTTAAATAATTTCTTTTTGATTTTCATAAAATATCCAAAGAAATGATCTAGAAAGTGGACTGATCTGTGCTGATGAGGTTGTGTCCATCCATGACACTTACTCCTAATTTCTCTGAATGAAATGTGAATGGCCTCCCTGATGTTGTTCAGTGAGATTGCTACCACTTACCACAAAATAACCCTGACTATTCATTGGGTGATAAACCCAGGAAAACAGACATTCTATCAAAGATTAAGTGTGAAAAATGCTGTGGTAAAAGTTTCTGGAGATGTAAAATGTATATTTTCAGATTGAAAATTATACATAATCTAAAATACAAATCAATTATTTAGGAAAAGAGGACTAAGAATTATTAGAAGAGAATGCGATTCTTATGCTCTAATCTGTGTATTTTTTTAGTTATGCACTAACTTCTGGAGATTATTGCAGAACAATTATATGATAAAATCAATTGAGTCCTTACGTATAGTTAAAAGTTTGATTTATATGTTAAGGATTTACATCACAGCACAATTTGAATAGAATCTCAACAGTTTTTAGAACTAGTTCTTTAACATCAGACTACCAGACCAGCTTTGTCTGAGTAAACCACACAAGACGCTACACTTAATATGATAATCATAATTTCTTCATGATTATAATCTTTAAATTTTTTTTTCTCAAGAGCATTTAAAGCTCCACCGAGCTTTATCACTGGTCAATCCCTTCACTGTATGGGAGGCCTTTCGTAGCTCACAGCTTTGGTGCATATCCCATTACCAAATTGTCCACTTAAATCTTGAGAATTTCAACGGTTTACATTGTCAGTCTAATTGTAGACTTTAAAAACTGAGCATTTTTTCCTTTAATAGATAGAGAGATTAAGATGTTTGAAAAAATCTTTGACCAATTATATTGTTGTTGGGTTAACAATAGACGGAGCTGGTATAGAGATTTACACACCAGTATTTCAGTATTTGGTTCATTCTGTGATCTTACTCTTTTTTGAAATTGGATCTTGTTCCTAAGATACAAAATTTTAAATATTCTTCAATCAAAGTTAGAGTGTTTTATGTCCTTTTTGTCGTTGAAATTCTAGCTTTTCTGTCATTGCGGGGAAAAAAAGACAAATTGTCAATGTCCTTCAAAAAAGATACTTCTGTATGTTCTTCAGGAATACATATACAATATCTTTAAATCAAACATGAATACATCTTGAAGGAAAGAAACTTAGTTGATTTTTTTTTGTAAAACGGTATAGTGTTTCACAGTAGAATAGAGACTGGATGGTATTTGACTTTAAGTGTAATATTATCTTATATCAAACACACTAAGGTTAAAACATGCCCTTAAGATGACAAAACAAAAATTTACTGTAATTTATACATCTACAGTAAATTGTAGGAGATTTAATTATGTTGAAATAATTAGCAAGTCGGTGGTTTGATGTGGATTTTTCTCTGCAAAATATTACCGATGAATATGATTACAAATGTCATGGTCTCAGTATAAATAAGGTATGTGTCTGACATACCAGGAAAGAATGTCAGAACCAAATAAAAGATGAATTAATAAAAATATCCATATTATCATTCAATTTCATTGGCAATGAAAACAATAATTTAACCTATTCTTACTTGCAGTTGCCTGACATTGGTGGTACACTTACGGGTGGTTGCTATGGTTTTGCCACTAAATACATGCATTGGCAAGAAGATTTGATTGTGGGCGGCATTACCAGAAACAAAACTGGCCATATTGTCAGGTGAATAAAGCCAGAATCTGTTACTGTCTATATGTAATTTTCAAATTCTTTATAAAAAGCTTTGGAAATGTAGTCTGGTTAGAAGCATATGCATTCAAAAGTATTTTCAGACATTATATCGTAATTCTGTATGTGTATATCTTATGGGTTTTAAATTACAGAGATTATTTCTGTCTGGTATTAATTTAAAAACGTTTTTAAAGAAATAAATACATTAAAAAAAAAACGTTTTGATATTTTCTAAATATCATGCATTAGATATTTATAATGGTTTATATGTTGAATGTGATGATTGTTGATAAAGCATTCTTTGTTTATTTCATTTTAGCTTTAAAGCCAATGAATTATACTTTATTCGTGAATGAGAAAATGGGCAAAATTGTAAACCCATTTAGTATGCTTTGCAAATTCCATTTATAAAAAGAAGAAAGAAAAGTTTATTCTGAAAAGCTCTTTTTTCATTTAACTCCCACTTGAATTTTTTTCTTCTCTCACAAATCGGGAAAAATATTAATAAAAAAACTTTTGATTAAGCTTGTTGGGTGGTGGTTTGGACCCTAAAACCCCAGAGAACAACTATGAAAGAAATTCTGTGTGCTTTGTGTTACTATATCAAACATTACCGCCCAGTCAAGGTAAGAAAACCTATACTGATGACTACCTTTTGTGTTTATTCTCAGAGCGGAGGCTTTGCAGTCTATTGTACAGCTTATGGACGACCAGCAACTCTTTGATTTCTTCAAGGTCACCAGTAAAACCATTAGCATTGACTGGACACCGGACAAGGCTAAGGCTATCCTGGAAGCATGGCAGAGGAAATTCGCACAGGTGTGATACCTACTGCTACTTAACAATATATCTACATAATTTTCAGTATTCTTTGGCAAGGTCCAATGCTAGAAAATAATTTCTTTCATCAAACAACAAAACTATTAATTTAGTCAAAAAGAACAATTTTACAACAGTGTTTTTTTCTGTCTGCAAAATTACATGGAAAAAGAGCATGTCCTTGGATGGAAAATCTTTATGGTAAAACAACAAAAGAAATAACAAATGTGTCTGGTTTTTAGCTTTTTATGTGGAAGATTGGTTACAAACCTTATGTTTGCTAAATAGAATTTAGGGATTTGAAAATCTCTTTCTATAGCGCGAGTGGATTACCGGTATATATATTTATCTCTATATTTAGTATCAGGATCATAACATTCTTTCATTCTCGAGATAGCTGTGTGGAGTGCAACAAATACGTACTGACAGTCATTATTAGAAAAAAGTGAACTGAAAAGTGGAATTTAAACTTGAGTTGATATTGGTTTTCAGTACTGTAGAATCTCTGTTATATCACGATTTCAGTTGAGTAGGCCTCCCACCCAGATTGCATTGTAATTGGGACTCTGTGTGGTAAATGTTTTCAAAATTTTACCTGAGATAATTCTTGGGTAGAATTGAAATTCTTTCCTAAAAGCAGATATATGATTAAAGATCATCACTTGAAAATTCTATCATGAAAGAAAAACTGAAAGAAATATCACTTTACAAAATTTAAAAGTCTACATGTTGCTAATGAGATAATTAGTCTGTTATGATTGAAGGGTGTCTACCGTAAATCCAAGTCATGAAGTACACTGGATATACACACGATCACACATTATCAGGTTGAGTCGTGGTGCCCTTCGTAAGCCTCTCTTTCAATCTTCTACGGCTTTGTGTCCGGTTCTGTGTCATTTATTATTCATTGAATAAAATTTCAATTTGAAAGAAATAATTAGATCGGGGTTGCTGATACTAGGTTTATGAGAAAGAGCTGTCTTGTTCCACCTCATCCAGACTTTAAAAGCCTGACCCATTTACAGAGTTGAGACTGTGTGTTGAGAACAGCAATATTGACATAAAAATTACATAATGAATAAATCTGAGGGGTACATAGACACGAGGGCGGCATTTCATAATGAAGTAACACTCATTATGGATACTTAACAGTGCACTGCTAACCTTGTAGGAAAAAATGTTATTGTAAGGATCTTATTTGTAGAATTTTATTCTATATGATAATATAAAATATATTCCAATGATTGTGTTGTAAGATAAAGTTAAATGCTTTCCTTGTTTTTTTCATGTATTTCATGTAATCTCTGCCATCAGGTTCACCTTTTTTTTCTTTTCAAGCTGTAGAAATGTGAACTACTAAAATGATAATCAGTTAATATCCTTTTGTTTTTTTCACCTGTGTTTAATAGGTTGTCAATGGAATGGGCAATTCCACTTCACCAGACCAGATGTTAGGATTTTCTACTACCTCACTGATGGATATTATGAAGGAGTTCTCCAACGTTAGCATTGTCCGAGTGGTATTCGGATACGTCCTCATGGTATGTTATTACCAAAACTGTTTAGAAATTCTTGATTAATTTTAAAATCAGTTACTGTATTTGCAAATCTGAAAATTCACATTGATATTTTAGGTTTTGTTTCAAATGGTTTTATGATTTTTTGAATTTAGATAAATATGGTCTCATTGTAAACACTTTGGTGAAGGTTATTGAAAAATCTAATCTGGTCCCATTCTTTCCTTTCCAGGTGTTTTATTCCTGTGTTTCCTTACTGCGATGGAATAATGGAGTTCAGTCTCAGAGTGGTATTGGAGTTGCTGGTGTCCTTCTTGTGGCATTATCTGTAGCTGCAGGTCTTGGGATTTGTTCTGTATTAGGGATACCCTTCAATGCTTCTACTACACAGGTAAGGATACCCTAGTTTTTACCTGTATTTACCTGTAGTGTACATATAATACCCTAGTCCTGTAACTGTTTTCAACATTCTTTAGTTTTTGGATTTGTTACTAACAATTCTTTTTTCAAGTTGATTGCATGTGTATGGCACACTTGTGATTTTCAGAATACCACACTTGTCAGATATCAATCTTATAGAAAGTTCCTTTCTGACATCTGATATGACCAACAGACTCCAATTCTTGATTCAAAAGTAATAAAAGTTTTGAAACTTAAGCAGTATTATCTACAATATTAAGAGAATTGAATTTATTTATAAAACATGCTAATGTGGCATTGGATCAAATGTATGCAATTTTTATACTTTGTTGCAAGGTCTTGTGTCTAAAAATGTCAGTATCTATGTTACATCTTTTAGTCTATTAAACTTCTGAGAACAAATGCTGTCAGTAACATGAATACCTGATTTGTTTATGTCATAAACAATGTACTTGTTTGGAGGATCAACAGCAAAGTTTTGATCGACAGCTAAAGTTTGAGTGCTTCATAAACTCGCACACAGACTATAGAGGAGATAAAATTAGCTGAAGTATCATCCTAATATCTTTAGACCCAAATTTCTTATACTGGAACCTATAAGCCATTATAGGAATTCCAAGGGCTGCACTTTGGTGGAATATGCCACCTACACAGTTGCCTGTAACAGAGGGGAATTTTGGCACTTGTTTGTTGTAGTTGTGTGTAGACGCTGTAGTTATCCCGATGTGGCTGTGATTTGGGATAATTTGGTAGATAGGGAAATGAGAACATTATCGGTAGAACTTGCTAACTTCATCAGCATCAGCTTCACTTCACCAACATTATCATTATAATCATCATTACAGTTAATAAACAGTGAAGGCAAAGTCACATGGTGATCGTATGGGGCCAACAGGGTGGCATATATACTAGCCCGCCAACACTTCCTGAACAATTGATAGTATTTTACAGGAATGTGCCCTTTTGTTTTAATACTATCAAAGCCATTGTAAAGCATCTTATGTTATTTACTAAATATAGAAAATGGTTGAAGTTTGTTGAGCAGAAAATTGGAAATTTAAACCATTTTCTGCTTTTCGATTTTTTTGGTAGAGTGCTTTTAGTAGTAATAATGCTGTTCTAGTTTTGCAATTTTCTGAAGAGTCACATAAAGTTGTTGTAACTTTTATGAAAGGGTACAGAAACATCTAGTTTGTAGAAGTATGCATATTTTCAAAATTTGATTATGTTTGGACATTGTGCCTTAACAATGTCATGTGCAAAAAAAAAAAAAACATACACATTGAAAAAATTTTTGGGTTATCAGCAGATTTAATTAATCCAGACGACAAACGACTTAAGTAAACAATATGTAATATAAGCCTTGTATGTACTTGGTGTTTCACCTGCAAAGCAGTGCAATCAGGCTGTAGTTGTGAATTTTTGCTAGCCATGCTTGAAGTTGTAGTCATGCAAAGGTATACAGAGGGGCACTTGTCTGGTATTCTACCTGGCCTAGGGTCGTCAGGTATGGGTGGGCGGGGTGATTTGGTGTGAAAAGAGCATGTTTGCAAAAGAAACATCACAGTACTTTGAATAAGAAAATTTGGAATTAATGTTGATATCTTATTCACTTTTTCTATATTTTTATTCAAAATAATGGTAACAGAATGTCATAAGTTGAGATATGATTGGAATTACAATGGGGTGTAATCGGAAAGTGTTACAGTATAGTGATATCTAGAGAGAAGTACCACCTAAAACAGTTCCTATATACTAGGTCTACAAACAGTAATGAACCTATCATCGTTAATTGACAGGACTCGTAAGATGTATACTTGTATCAGGTATTAGTTCATTTCTCGCCAACAACAAAAATGACAGTACTTTAGGGAGAATATGAGTAAGTAGATCACAAGCTCATCAACACACTCCTTGGTTCATCTCTTGTCCGTTAATCAACCCTAGTAAGCACCTTGGCCCGTAAAGAAATCTGGGATGTTTGTGTAACAATACTGTGTGCACTTTGTCAGCGACGGTAATCAAAGATGATTTATACATGACTCTGTTGACAAGTGGGAATCTCATACATACATATATATATATGGTGTACAGGTGTATAGGGGAGGGGGGAAAATGATAAATTTGTACATTCCTACAGGTATATAGAGATCTAGATTTGGTTGAAGGGAGATCTAGGGAGGATAAACTCGTACTTGATATATTCAGGTGTTTTGTAAGTGGTTGGGTAATTATAGGGCTTTGCTAATTGTAATAAGCTTTCTGATGATTTATGTCTTATATGGAATGTCTTAATTGAATCATCTTGGTGAAAAGGTATAAAACATTGTTGTTTATTAATCTGTAATAACGTCTGTCGGATTACTGTTGAGGTAATACATTATCTTTATAAGTGGATTTTCTCTTCAGGTTCCGTGTTTTTCATCAGATATTGTGTTAATCTATTTTTAATGAAAAGAGGAGGTTTTATTACATTACTTTTTCTTACTTGCATGGGTTTATCTGATAATGTTTTAATTTCCTCTAATTAACTACAGTTTTACCCTGTTAATTATTATTATATCAAGATTGTAATGTATTCTGTGGAAACACAGTAACTTCTGTTATAATTAATGATATTGTTATATGTGTAGTAAGCTGTCTGTTAAGTGATTCAATTTGTATGTCTTACCTTTATGTAAGAAATAGATAAAATCAACAAAGAAAAAGCATGACACGTCAAACACTAAAATACATCAAGACAGCTAATGCCTATGCCATATATTTCCTCTAATTAGATCTGATGAGCACAGACATGTGAAGACAAGGAGATGTTTTCGACTACCCATGTCTATATCCTGTTTAGAGTTTTAGAATCAAGGTTAGGCGTTTAGATCACTGATCCAGGGATGCCCTAACTGTGTACAGATTTATCCCACTTTGAAAATTTACTGTGTGGTGTGTACTAATGCATCCTCATCTTTGTGAGAGAATTACCATGCTAAGTGAGAGTTAGGTTGATGAAGAAATAAAGATATGTCCACAATTATGAGGCCAGCCACTGGACCTCCCTTGAAACAGTCCAGTGCAGAATACGTTTGATGGTAAATATTATGGGGAAGCATGGTGGTAGTTGTAGAAAACCAAGACCAGCTAGGTTTTTCATCTGTATTGTAGCAGATGTTCAACGGATTTGACCTACCGAGAAGATAAAGAGAGGCATGGACAGAATTCAAGCCCAGAGATGTAGTCCAAACGTGTTTTCCACATTATCTGTGGTAAAAAAAAGGCAAAAAAATACACAGATGTTTTTTGCATACAGAGCTCCAGCATTGGAAATATCATTTGAAGATTTGTTGTGTGTGTTGCCTTGGGGAAAGGTCATCCATTTGTAGTGATAATGGCTTGTGCAATAAGTATATAGATAGTTGAATAACAGAAAGTTCATTTTTTTCCCCTTTTAATTACAGATTATTCCATTCTTGGCACTTGGACTTGGTGTTGATGATATGTTTCTCATTGCACATACATATTATGAAAATGGCAACAAAAAAACCATACCCTTTTCAGTAAGTGTTTTACCATACTTGAAACAATTACAAACATTACAGAAGTTATTTAATTTTTTTTTCTGCAAAAAATATATCTTTAAAAATATGTAATGTGACTTGTGTACTGTGGAATATTTTTCAATGTAAATGAGACCTTGAATTGAAATTCATCATAAATAAAGATACCCATCAAAGTTTCTCTTTATATGATAACTTTAAATTTCTATCTTTCCAGTGAAGGTATTGATTTTATTATTTGTTTCAGGACCAGACAGCTGAATGTCTAAAGAGGACTGGTGTATCAGTACTTCTGACCTCTGTCAACAATATGCTGGCTTTCTTCTCTGCTGCCATCATCCCCATTCCTGCTTTAAGGGCATTCTCACTTCAGGTAAATACTTTCAAAAAGTTTTGTTTAATCTCCACATAAATTTCAGTAATAATGTTAAAAGTTTAGGATAACCAAATTGGGAAATAAAAATGATAAGTCTGATATGATTTTCTTCGAAAATGTGAAAATGAGTTAATATCGTTTGTTGGAAATCATTACATTGGAAATCCTCCCGTAATATGGAAAATGATGCCATCAATTTTCTGTGTAATTGGATGAAAGTGCATGAGTATTTTTAGGAAGCAATTCAGGTGAGCTAATTTCCTACAAAAAGGTTTGATCACTTTGGCTGTCAGTCTTGTTGAGTGGCCAGTAGAAAAGTGACAAGACAATTACCTGTGGAATCTTTACAATACAAGGAGTCATTGTTCTAGTGCCGAGCTAGGTGTGGGGTGTGATCGGATTAGCAAGGAATAATATCACATAACTGTTACAATAAAATGTGACCCTGTATAAAAAAATATGGTGAATGTTACGAGTAGCATTGTATTATGTTGCCACACACAGTGCTGATGGTGACATGGTTTATGAGGTACAATTCTGGTAGGCAGATCAACGGAGCAGTGGCATAAACCTGCACGATGTATGCTTATACAATCAGGTCAGGGCATGCAAAAGTATTTGGGGGAGAGGAGGAGAGGATTACTATCTCAAGGTTACATTTAACAATGACACTGATTTAAATTTCTGTACTGGAACACAGTTTGGAATAGATGTAAGACTAGAGAAAGTTTGTGTATCGGCCAGCTGGAGTAATAGTTTCTTCCCTGGTGCATACATTGATGCATGGCACACGCACCAAGGTACACATGCACATGCATTAGATGTACAACACAGACAGCTTTCGGTGGAAATGAATGGTAATGGCTGTGGATGTGCAATGTGTAGTATTTAGTGTAACAGGGTCATTGGTTCTATTAACACGCTGCAGACTGAAGGGAAAGAGGGATCCTCCCCCATATGCATTGGGAGAGGGTTAAGTACAGTGTACAGGGCCTCTCCCACATACCCTCCCACACGTTCTGTGTTAGCTATGTACTTGTGTGGTAACATTGACAAGAACAAGTAACGATTCCTTCAGGTCTGGATCTACAGGCAACAGTAGACAAAGAAATACATTTCTATCATTCTCACTTTCATAACCCCTTCTCATGACATCATATTTTAGGAAAGAGATGATCTTCGTTCTACCTGTTACCAAACTCTGTCAGATTACAGGATATATACAAACAAAACATTACATCAATTCTATTTGTGTAGTCAAAATATTTGTTGTGTTTATTAAGCAAAAATAGTCTTTTATGAACATCAAAATTTTCAAAAGATAGGGTTAACTTCAGCTGCAGAAACTAGGGATATGTATAGTTAAAAATAATAATTTTCCGTTTTATAATTAATGATAAAAAATAATTCTACAGAAGACATCAACTCGAGAGTATATTTATTTACCTTGTTTACAAATTTACTTAACTTGTGTAAGTGTTGAAGTATATCCATTACAACAGTTTATACAGTACAAATGTTTTAGGAGAAAGTTGTGTGTACATTAGATGAATAGAATGTTAATTACCAAAACTCCAGGTGGAAAATATTAAGATGTGACATATCAATTATTTTGTATGTAACATATGAATACAATGTAAATGGGTTTATACTGGGGTGATGGTTTGTTGTAAATTGAGATGTGGAAAATATGATGTAGAATAAGAGATTGTCTGGTTATATGTACTGATGGAGCAAAAGGGTTAATTTCACAAGGTAGTTGGCCATCAAATAAGTTTAAACCATATCTCTTCTGTAGGGATTATGGAAAGAAGAATTTTAAAAGTGTAGATTCACCTTGGTTAATGAGAAATGGTGATTTATACTTTCCCTACTAACATCAAACTCCTGGATTTAGGAAGGGGGACAGCTGTTAAAGTAATGTGTGATTGGACAGGGAGTTTAATTTGAATTTCATCAGGTTGGAGTACCACAGGGTTTTAATACATACCATATGGTTTGCGCTTCACTTAGATGACAGTCTCCTCATAAGACCACCAGCAGATAATAATGGACTGAAATTCTTTCAATTTTTTTTTTAACGGTATTCGGTGATTGAATGATCGGTGTTTCTTATGAATATAAAAGTATTCAGATAATACCTGTCAGTGAAAGGCCACCCTGATTTTGTTATTTTGCCAATGGTGACTGTTTTGTTCATGTGTATATTATCTCACCAATACATCTATGAAATTCACAAACCTTTGCCAAGCTCATTCACATAAGGTTTTGAAGTGAGGTGAGGGAAGTGGTAATACACAAGACAACAATCACTATTATTTTGTATATAAAATTGGTGATAAAATCACTTAATTACGGTGAACACTTTGCAAGTTATATACGATTGTACGGAGCATGTATAGGAAATAAAAAAAGGATCAAAGCCGTTAGGATAATAAATCGGTGTGTATCGCTGGCTGTGGTCTACTTCTAAAGGCAGACATGTAAACATTTTATTGCTTTTAAATTGTTTTCCACTTGCATGTTATTTGCGACATTTTTTGATGTTGAAGCCTCCAAGTGACTTTCATTGCTGCTGTGGCTGCATGAAGTTACTTACTGTGTGTATACCATATAATCTTTCATATTCCACAGTAAGAACAATACTACAAAAATTATCATTGATATAAGATATTGTATAAAATTAAAAGTACATGGTGGTTTCTGATTTCCTGTACATCTATATACCTTATATAGCAAGGTGGGGAGTAGGAGGGGTTGATCCAGAGTCCATCAAGAGTCTTTTACTGAGGGTATGATGTCAACGTTGCTGAATTATCTGAGAGTTAAGGTAGATGTGCGGAACTGATGTTCAAACTGATGTTGATGTTTTGTTTATTTACAGGCTGGTATTTTGATCCTCTTTAACCTGGGGTCAGTACTCTTGGTATACCCAGCCATCTGTAGCTGGGACCTGAAGCGCAAGGAAGACAAGCGAGTGGACATCTTTTGTTGTATTCAAAGGTCAGTATCACACAGGAAATGGTATTTTTGGGAGGTCAGAATTGCATACAGAATAGATCATATTTTGTCAGTAGAGATCAGTATTATACAGTAAATGATATGTATGGAAGTTAAGCTCAGAATTGTATACAGAATAGATCATATTTTGTTAGTAAAGATCAGTATTATACAGTAAATGTTATGTATGGAAATTAAGATCTGAATTGTATACAGAATAGTTCATATAGGTCAGTAGTATGTAAAGGGTAGACCATGTAAAGGGATCAGAGGTCTGGTACTATACAGAGGGTAGGCCATGTTTTGGGGTCAGATTTCATGCAAATTTGACAGTCTACATAGGTCATGTTGGGGTGTTGGGATTAGAGGTCAATGTTAGACGTGTATATATTATTAATTCAAGAATATTTGTTTTATTTATTGCTAACTTTTTCAACAGTTATGCTGAGAACAACAATAATACTGTGATCGACCTTGCTCCTAGCCGTAATGAATTTGAGATGCGTGATCAGAGCCCTCCACCCTGCTACAGCCCTCCACCCCCTAGTTACAGTCCCAGTCCTCCACCAAGTTACAACGCAGTGGTCAATGCAGGTCCAGATGGCGACCATATAGTCACTTCCCTTGCCCCAGAGGGTTTGTTTGTGGCAAGACCAACCCCACTCCCTACATGTGAGTAGCCATTTTGAACTTTAATGTCTTTGTTTTGTTGATTATCTAGCTTTTAGAAAAGTACCAGTTTCTATCGGCCAAAATTTGTTTACAAATACCCGGTGATAAATATCTCCATTATAGAATCTTAGCTGAAGTTTATCTTCACTAAAGCTGTATATATATATTAAATAACACATAGATGATGTCTTGGAAATAAATTCTTGTTTGATATTATCTTGTTTGAATACTTCGTAGCAAAATGACACAAACTCTTTATGATAATTAGTGGTATTCTGTTTGTCAGTGAAATGAAACATATTTTGTATGTATGGGTCTTAAATACAGACTTCTAAAAGGGACATGTTTCATCAGTTTTATAATGTATGAACTATAAATGTTGTGAATTTTCAACATGTAAATTAAAAAAAAAATCCAACTAATACATTAATATACATTTGATCATTGTAGAGCTAGACGTATTAGATGATAGGAGCCTTACTTGATGTCCTCTTTCCTTAAATACAGAATCATATTAAAGCACTCCGTGAAATTTTTATTTGAATCTCTCATCTCCTTACACACTTGTGTGACTTTCTGTGTAATATCCCTATGAAAATTTTATAGTCTGGATCAAAAGTGTGAATGTTATACCTGAAAACTTTAACGACTATACAAGGGGATGTAAACTGAGTTTTGTTAACATAGCGACCTCCTCTTAGGGCTACACAACACTTTTATGTAGGAATCAACATAACAGCTAAAAAAAAAGAGATGATCTTACTCCATAACCCTACAGCATAGCTCAGGGATCAGGTTTCAATTTGATTTGATTTACAAAGTATTATTTTCATGTATATGTAAAAAGAATTGATATTCTTCACCTGACAATCAACAGACAAGTAACCTATACCACTTAGTAATTTAGGAGAAAGAAAATCTAGAAACTGCTATTTCATTCCAGAGTATCCTGTGCACTTTTCATTCAAATGTCAAGTGGTGAATTATTTGCTATTTTGCATTTAAATATGCACTCCCAGAAAGTGGCTACTAAGTGAGAGTGTCTTAAGAAAACATATTGATGTCCATTTCATCTTCCTGTTGTTATTGAAACTGATGGATAACATATCTCTTTCCCCCTTTGATTAATCTGTTTTCATCATGTTTTGTTAGTGTGCCCATCCACAACTTCTTCCCGCCAGTGTTTAACCCCTGATGACAGGGTAAGCTGCAGGGAGCGCTTTGCTCAGGCTCAGAGGGAATGCCTCAGCTTGAGTCTCACAAGCTTTGCTACACGACGTGTGGGACCTTTTCTGAAGAAGCCTCCTGTCAAGGTATGGTAAAAAATTCATGATGCAGAGATATCAACCACCATCAAAATGAAGCATCCTATAAGAATGATGTGTAACTGTGAGTAAGGAGATGAATAAGAAAAGACATCCTAATAATACTGTTAAAAATGTACTTAAATTACATCTGCATACTGTAGAATCATAAATTATTGTGGAGGTTTTATTTTCCGTTGATTTCATGAAATGGTAAACACTTAAATATTGGCAATGATTTTAGTATCGGTGGATTTCATGATTGAAATCAAGCGGTGTTAAAAATATATATTTTTGTAAAACCATGAAATTTTAGCTCAACAAAAAAATATGATTTTACAGTAGACGAACGATGTGATAATGAATTTAGGAGTAATTGGGGTGATGTTTCTTTCCTTGCAGGTTTTCACAGTGTTATCATTTGTTATTGTGCTGATGGTCAGTATCTATGGCATTACCAAGGTAAAAGACGGCCTTGACCTTACAGACATTGTTCCCAAGGACACTAATGAATACAAGTTTCTGGATGCACAATCGGATTACTTTGGCTTCTATCATATAGATTTAGTCACAAAGGTATGTTGTACTTGGTACATGACTGTCTAAGTGTTCGCATACAGAAATTTTGGATTTGAAATATGAAAAATGAAATATTAAATATTGTGATATCTATCAAATCTATCCATCAAATGTGTATCATTCTGCCTTTGTATATTTCAGGGTGATTTTGATTACCCTAACAACCAACCCTTACTGCTAGAGTACCACAAGTCATTTCAAAGTGTAGGCAAAATTATCAAGCGTGAAGATGGCTCATTGCCAAACTTTTGGCTGATCATGTTCCGCCAGTGGCTGGAAGGTGAGTGAAGCTGCTTGGTCAGAAACTTCTTTATTGTATAATGCCTTTGACTTACATGTTGAAAATATGTACTATTGTTGTCATGTAATACGATATGCCTGTTAGTAAGTGGCCTGGGCTTGAGAAGCCACCAGGGTATTCCTCAATTTGAGTTAATCACTACTTCCTAATGCTTGTACCTTACCATATTTGTTCTGTAAATCTTTACAGATAGAGGCATTCATATTACACTAAATAGCTTTGCAATGTGTTTTTGTTAGGAGGACTTTGCTAGCTTGTTAAAAGTAGAAACTAAAACTGTAACATTTGTTTTGTCTGTATCCAATTTATTGCCTTGAGATTGCACAGCAAACATTCATCGAGTTCAGTGGTGAAAATATGACATGAGATAATCCGGTGTTCACACCAAATAGCGAAATTTGTGTGTGGCAAAATAAACCTATCATACAATATTTATATTGAAAACTTCATTTCTGTAAATATTTGGTTGTAAAAGTTAAACTTTCTTGACGATAACACGAAACATTCTGTTCATTACTTTATTTTCATGCATCTTACAGAATTGCAGACAGTCTTTGATCGTGAGTATTCAGAGGGTAGATTGTACCGGGATGGATGGTACAACAATGCTTCAGATAGTGGGGTACTGGCATACAAGCTGTTGATACAGACCGGAGATGTGGACACACCTTATGACAAGAATCTGGTACATATCATCATGCAATTTTTGTAATAAATTAATCCTCCATATGATATAGTGTTAGGCAACATGTGTGATATTACTATGGATTTAGAATTGAAGTTGGTGTTAAAGTTTCAGATTATTAGGTATTTGAAGAACTGGTGCACTGTCAAATAAGAGTTAATGATGGACAGTATTTATGTATAAAAAAACTGATTCAAAATTATAGTTTTGGTTTTATGTTGAATTTTATTGTCATTGTAGAATCTTATAGATGCTTGACAACAAATGGATGACTTATCAAGTATTTGATATTTCTTTTTCAGTTCCCTCACAATCGTATGGTAGAAAATGGGATCATTGATCCTAAGGCTTTTTATAGTTACCTCACTGCGTGGACATCCAATGACCCCATGGCATATACTGCATCTATGGCCGACTTTCACCCCCCTACCAAAGATGAGCCTCATGACTCCTATGACTATGAACTCAAAAGTAAGCAGTAATTTTGGATAAAAATTAATGTCAGGTGATTTAATAAACACCAAGTTGAAATATGTGCTGCTTTGTGAAAGATGAATGCATAATTTATTTAATTGAAAAAATTTGTTTTTTTCATTTCAGTATCCAAAGCACAACCTTTGATTTATGCCCAGATACCATTTTATCTAACCAACCTGTCCGACACCGAGGACATCCTGCATACAATCAAGGTAATTAAGCAGAAGCTGATTGGTGCACTTCAACAGGTGCTTGCCCATTATAGCCAGGTGCCTCCTCTTCTTAACTCATTACCCTCAGAAACTACACAGAAATGTGTACTTTCCATTCCATCAACAACCCAGTGCTTGGTACATCAAGTCGAATATTCATTCCTATAATGTAGATAGTGAACATGCTTTTCCTATTCCTTAGTTATGTTGGTGAATACATCTAAAAGTCGGACTCCTTTATGATTCAATATTACTGGTAAATTTGATGTAATAATAACCAACATTACAGATATATAATGAAGGATAAAACAAAATGTACATGTCTGTTATGGATGCTGGGTTTGTTAGATGAGAGTTGCATGACTGTAGAGACAGCTGTGAAATCTAAATGGAAAGTTGGGGCACAGGTTTAGTTTATACTCCTCCAGGGCATTACAAATGAGGTTTTATGTCTGTATCAGATGATAGGGCACCTGTATGTGTGTGTGTGTGGTACAGAGACTGGGCCTGGTCCGGCATCTGTGTACTGGGTAACCATTGCCTATCTCCGACTTCACAGAACCTGCACAGATAATGTTAGATAACATAGTAGTGATAGGGATAAACAGTGCCACTAAAACATTAACTTTTAACTCTCTGTTGCTACAGGTTAGTTAGAATTTACTCAAAAAGTTAGTTTTTTGTAAGGTGTGTGTTCCTTTTCTGTTTTATTTTTAGACATCCTTAAATTGATTTTTTTTGTATTCAGATCTGCAACAGAAGTAATGGTGACAGACACAAATTGCAGACCCAACCACTGCATTTTTTTCTCCATATCTTTGAAAAATAAAATAAATTTATTTATCAAATTTATGTGATGTTTGAAGGAATATCCTGAAATAAATTCTCATTGTTCTTTGCAGGCTATCCGTGCCATTTGTGATTCGTTCACAGAACGAGGCTTACCAAACTATCCAAGTGGGGTGCCATTCACTTTCTGGGAGCAGTACATCAACCTGCGATTCTACCTGATGTTATCCATCCTCTGTATCTTAGTTGTTACCTTTATTGTAATGACTATTGTCCTCATGAATCCCTGGCTGGCCAGTATTGTGGTGAGTAGGCCACACTTTCAAACACCTCAAAACTTGTGTGGAAAAAAATCATGGAATGCTTTCAAATTAGATTAAACATTGAGGTTTAGATACAAATTTTAGTGTAATCAAATTTTAACACATTCACTGTTAGGCAGATTTTTGTTATGATCATTTTGTTACATCCAGATTTAAGCTATATGAATAGCTTTAAACAGTTATTGCCATTATCACAATCGTATTTTAGCACAATCTTTTCAGCAGGAAAAGTGCTGCAACAAGATTCCCACTGTATATTTACAGTAATTGTTTGGGAAGTGTAAGACAATTCCATGTGGGGTTTTGTAAGTGTATATATGAAGGAGAAATTCATCAAAATGGGATGTGATATGTTTTGTATTAGATGTGTATGGAAGATAAACACAAGGACTGTCCTGTTGATGTAGTACCATCATAGTCATTAGTCTTTCATGCTGTCAACATAGGCAGAATGTGGTGTAGATATATCTCTGCACGTGTCGGAAAATAGTTACTCCCAAGTAGACTAGAGCCTATTTACACTGACATCATACAACACAGATAAAATACCCATGAAATCAACTGAATCACATGTAAGACTGGGTGATGAAATTCCCCGTCAATGCATTTTTGCCAGATTTAATTGAAAGAGAAAAAAAGCAAGCATCATTGACACAGGATAGCTAGTGTACCAATTGTCATAAAATGTGATTGTAACCATTAGTGCGCTGCTATATTGCCGTCATCGTTTGGGGAAAAAAGAACAGATTTACATTTTTTTTACCGCGAAATTTTTATAGAAACCATGTGTGACCCACCCTAATCATCTCTCTTCACAGGCCACAAAAACACGGTACAAACTATCAAGATATGTTTCGTGTGCTACATTTTACAGTTGTTAAAATACTGTCAAAAAGTTCTTGCTGTTTCTGAATAGATGTATCAAGATTTTCATTGGTGTTGGCATAGAAGCTGGCTATTTTTAGAGAGAGCATAGCCTATGATTTCCTTTAGTTTATTTTAGGTAGAGTATGGTACTACTTCTATCATGGGTTGTATTTTTACTTGATTACAGTTGAAGAGTTATCAAATCTTGCCTGGGAAACTAGAATTTTATAACTTGACGACAGTGATAAAGTCTATTTGGCAGAGTGTAGATTCTTTAATATAGTGAATTCTGGAACTTATTTAACAGTTGTGTTGCTGGGTCTAGAAGTTCGCGAGTTTATGGGTTTTTATCATGGGGAATAATTTTGAGGAAATATACTACTTGTATTAATGGAAAAACAAATGTAGCACACAGATATGATGACAAGCTAATATTTTTTGGAGTGAAGAGTTGTTAGTCATGATTTCAAAAATAGACATATTTGAACTGGAATTAAATAGATTTAATTTGTGATTTTCATCAAATGTCTGATTTGTTCTTGCAGGTTGTTGTTTTGACCATGATTGTGGTAGAGCTGTTTGGAATGATGGGGCTGACTGGCATTAAGCTGAGTGCTGTACCTGCGGTCATCCTCATCGTCAGTGTTGGCATTGGAGTGGAATTTACTGTTCACGTGGCAGTGGTCAGTATCCTCATCTCTTAATCAAAATAAAACTTAAACATGAATCATCGAAAAATGCCTTTTAAAATATCTACCACACTACAATGAATGTCAAATCACATTAAAGGTCATAATGAAAAGTAGCTGGAGTTTTTTTCAATTTGTGATTTTTGGAAGATTCTCAAGAAAATTAAAAAAAAGATATGGGAAGCATTTTGAGATCATAATCGTCTGGTGGTGAAAAACTTTGATTTATGTTGTATTGTGTTTGTTGCAGGGCTTCCTTACAGCTATTGGATCACGTAACAGACGTACAGTAATATCCCTTCAGCACACCTTCGCTCCAGTCATCCATGGTGCCATCTCGACATTGCTGGGAATTGTTATGCTGTTAAGCGCAGAATTTGAATTCATTGTGAAGTGAGTATTGAATTGATTTCTAGATAATAGACATTTTCCACCGGTAGAGAAGTAAGTGATGATATCGTATGTAAATCTGTTACCTTCTGATGTTTATTCCAGTCATGTATATTTAAATTAGGGTAATTACTGAGTAAACAGTTTCTTAAAGGAAGCTAGCAAAATGGTTGTTAATTGCTAATATCATAGAATAAATTGCAAAAAATGACATTACGATGGAAAATTACATGTATTTTAGCACCACTTTATTGACAGATGTCTACTGTTTACACGTGTTATGTCACTCTGAACAAAATTTTATATTGTTCTGTTGTTATCACAAAAATCTCTCTGATCATGGTGTAGAATTAAGTGGTTATAGTTTATAAAGCTGTTGATTCCTTACTTAATCCTTACACGTAGGCTTATTTAATGTTATGTTACAAAGTTTAAGAGGAATGACTGCTGAGAATGGGTGTTGGTAGGATAATAGCAAGTTAGTAGAAACAACAAAGATATCAGAACAGTAGATTTCTATTTGAATCTCTTTCCAGCTGCTGTGATATCATAACCATACTTATCTCTAATTTATCTTCATAAATAACATCATAGCTTGAATGATATAAAAGTGGACTAGGTACTTTTTTTGTTCTTTATTTGGAGGAATATTTGTGCAAAGAATTCATAATGATTGTCTTCCACAGGATTATGGATAAATTCTGTGTTGACAAGTTGTAACTGATTTTCTATATAGGAAACAACTTTCAAACTTTCATCAGTGTTAAATACTTCTAGCATTTTCCCACTGTAAAAGCCAGGAAAGATGTTTGTGGAAAAGTTTGTTAATAATGGTTTTTCATTAGTGTTGAATACCTAGCATTTTCCCATTGAAAAGCAAGGAAAGAAGTTTCTTGAACTGATTGGCTGTTTATAATTGCTTTCTTTTTTTAAAAACTTATTGCAGGAAGCATAAGTGATTTGAAAGAGGAAACAAAATAAGTCATTTTGAAATCTAGTGTTGTACTTTGGAATTCAAAAAGCGAAGAGATTTGTCATATGGATAAGGCTACAAAAGAGGATTAGGTATAGCAGTGAGACTTTCTATATTTTTTGTGTGTGATAACATTTTTTTTGTCTATTACATTGTTATACTTCATGGTCTTTTCATTCAGTTTTGTATGCATGTCGTTATGTTTTTAATGATATAAAAATTGTAATGTTATAACTGCAGAGGAGTTATACTCAATCTCATTATGGTACACCGATACACATGGCCTATAAAGCTCTGCCCCACTCAATGTAACAAAACTTCTAGCGGGGGATTCAATGTGATGGCAGGGAGGATGGTGTTTCCCAAAAAATGGGGTACATATGGGGGTCACATTTGTTTTTTGCCTCTCTTTGCCTTCCATACCATTACTAGAGAAATGTGTGTATAACCGATGTTGATTTATTTTGATAGTTACTGACATCACAAACTTTTTAGGGCCCGCCTAACTCTAGATATCAGTACAGGAATTTTAAAGTATTCTTAACCTACATGGACAATAGTTGTCAAATACAGATTTATCTCATATCTTGAATTTTTCTCAAATTTGCATTAACTGTAAACATAGATATAAAGTTTTGAAAAAAAAATGTTTTTGAAAGCTACCTCAATGTTTAAATCATAAAATGTTTTGGCAAATCCATCCAGGGCCCATTTTAATGATGATCTTGCTCAGGTGCAAGCAATGCAATATTTAAGTGATCTTTTTCTTTGTAAAGTTATGCAAAAATATATATATATATTTCTCATTACTAAGTATTAAAGATGTTTGAAATATCCAGAGCCAAAGAATGAACTTTGCGATGTTTAAACATGCACTAATGAGGAAGAGTATCTAACAGAAGGTATTCAGCTTCGGTATGGGAATGACTATTTAAACAAGAAATATACGCCAAGCCCTTTTTTTTTGTATTTCATGAAACTTTGCAAACATCAGAGGAAGTTTTCTTTGGCCCATTCACCTCTACTACATGGAATTTTATGTGATCAGTCAGTAGTATTGTTACCATCATCCGCCAATTCTTGGTAAATTGAGATCCGATTCATCTGAGCTTGTGGTTTTGTGTTATTTCTTGCAGTTCTTTATATAAATAAGCTGACTTTATGAGCTACTAAGGTCTGTGCTAGGAGTATTGGTGATTAATGAAATCCGTTTGAATGGGATTGTAGAAAAAGTCTATTTATCTACCCCGACCAATAGTTTGTAAGGTGGTAGATTTTCATGCTGTTTCTATTGAAAAGCTATAACCTGTGTGAATGGCCTGGTTAACTTTTTGTGTCATGTTAAGACCTACATTTATTGATGAAATGGTACACATATCAAAATGATTATTAAAACCTGCACATATTGCTTTAAAGGATAATTAAGTAAACTAATATAAAATGAAAATGTCAATATTTTTTAGTGTAGATTTAAGAAAAAACTGATTTAAAAACTTCTCTGTGTAAGCTTATCCTACTTTAAAGTCTATAGTATACAATGGAAGGCCGCCACTCAGTTGGCTGTGTAATGTGGGGTGCTGTCCTTCAGGGCTTTTTTCACTCTGATTAATCAGTGGGCTATTTTCATAAAAGCCATACCACTACATACAGGGTCGGAGAGAGATAGATGGACCACCCAGCTAGTGGGTATGAAATTTCTATACTGTTGCCCATGCTTCAGTGGGAAAGGCAGAGACTACCAGAGTTGTCTATACAATACAACAAGTGGAAAGAGAAGGGGGTGGGGAAAACCAACCTTTTATCCAAGAATGTTATTCATTAATTTGGTAGAAGTGAGTTGCTGAAGACCTGTTCTATCAGTTATACATGATAATCATGTTGTATATGTGTTATGGGTGTAACCCAGATATTTTGAAGATTGTTGGAAGGTCTTCATTTCATATTAAATATATGCTAAATGGCTCTTCTTGAAAAAAAACCCACCAAAAAACGGAAGATAGATTGAAATTTATAAATTAATTTTTAGATGGGTGTATTCCTTAAGAGTGTTCTGTATTTCATTAAAATGATTTTAATCTTACTGGATATGTTTTGAAATACTGTTAAATTAAAATCTTCAACATGTTAAAATTTTACAAACTTTAATAATTAGAGAACCCATTTCTTTATAATTGTTCATGATAGATGAGTTCAAAGGAAATTTAAGATACATATTTGAAAAGATATTTGTTGTGTCTTCAACAGCTTTAGCTGTGTAGCTACTTCACTCAATATAATGAGCTTCTTTGTATAGGAAAAACAAGTATTTGTGGATTTCTGTGTGGGATATGTAATACCTATGTAATCACAATTAAACTGATCAAGTTACACTGTTAATGGAGGAAAAATCTTGTCTAGCATGTAGAAGGTTTCTTATGTAAATCAAACTTGTATCCTTGTGATATCTAGGTCAGACCTGAAAACATTTGGTAATTGTCTTCTATAAGGTAATGATAATTCTATTAATTTTTCACCTAATTGTGAAAATATATGATAAACTTTATTATGAAACTTGATTTTTCATGTAATTGTGAAAGTCTTCAAGAATAACATTGATAAGAGTCTTATATACATTGATTTTTGAAGAGACCACCATGATGAAATTTGCATATTTAGAATAAACAGTAAAAATCTGACAAGAGCCCGTCATGGACTTCCTTTGTGTTAGCAGAATTAGTGTGTAGGCTGTGCTGTAGTGTAAGGCGCAGCACAGACCTGACTGATGATTAGGTTGTGCCCAGATCCGAGACCACCCACTGAGTCTTACCACCTCTATCACACATTGTGATTAAGAAGGAAATGAAATAAACACAATACTTTACTGCTATATATTTGTCTAAGGGCTTCATACTCTTAAAACCAGAATTTAATGCCGTTTACAGATTTTGTGTTTTTATCTCTGTGTGCTGCTTCTTTGGCGTTGTGTTGATAACAGGCTTTATAAACAATACTTAAAGTGAAATACCAATATATTGTAGAGCTACAGCCTTACTGTTAAATGTATATGTGTTGGATTTAAAACATTTCTCATATTTAAAGTAACTCTTTGTGTGAAAGAAATCGGTTACATAAAATCATGATATTACCATAGAGAAATAATTTCTTGTAAGTTATGTTTTTCGGTAAAAAGAACACCTTGATTATGAATATACCTTTAACATGATCCCAAATTCTTGTCTGTAGCAAAAAACACTTTAATCTCACAATAAAAAGTCCTCTCAAGCCTAGGATGAATAATTGATTTTTGAAAAATGAAAAAAAAGCAAAATGAATTAAAGAAAAAGAACATATGGCTGCAAATTTGAATATTAAGCCCTTGATGAAAACAAAAACCAACTCATCAATTCCAGTAGTTTCTACAGGCAAATGGATTTTTTTTGTTTGGGGAAAAATGTAAGATGAATTTGAGATAAATGAGTGTTGTCAGTGCTTGGAGTCATGACTATGTACATCACAACACTTGTAGAAAACAATTAATTCTTTCTACCTGAACCCATTTAGTAATGTAGTCTGTGTTTATTGTGATGTCTGTTAGCCAATTAGTGTGAAGGGAGGACCTTTACAGTACACATTAAATCATAGACTAAGCTTTTTCTTTAGTCCAGTATTTCTGTATTTGACATAAAGACAATTTTTTGCTCAGCCTTCCAGTAATGATAAACTAGTGAGAGTATCGTTTTTGACTGACAAGGTTTATTTTTTATTCATGAATTAAAAGAAAAATGGAAGTTAGGGAGGAAAGACGATTCATATTCACAGTTCTTATAAGTTTTTTCTGTCAAAGAAATAAACAAAAAAGAATGAGAAAAATTTGGAAATGCAGTTAGTTGTGATAGAGGTGTGGAACTAACTGAACTCACCATTAGGTGATGTAGAATAGAAAGGGCACTGGTTGTCTTCATTCATCGCCCTTCATCACCCTAGTCATTAGGGAAACCCAAATGCATCGCATCCTGATGAAAGGAGAGCTATTTGCCTCCCTAAACAGTTAAAGATCGGCAACCAGGTGTGATATTTCATGTTTTTTTTACCACCTAAAAAAATTAAAGGTAAGGACTTACTTTAAGGTATTTTAAAACTTAATCTGATATAGATATAATATCTAAAACCTTTTATTTTGGAGGCTCTTACCTTGAAATATAACATTAATAAGCAAATGGTATTTAGATGAAGAAGATAATAAAGCAATTCAAATTTTAAAGCACATTGTCTATGGAGGAAGATAAATACAAGCATAGCATGCAGCTATGAAAGAATTCTGAAAGTAGCTATAGCCTGTTGCAGTTGATTATAGTGAACAATAGAAGGATAGCAATGTTCAGGTGTGGTCCAGGGCTATGGTATGCGGGTAGTATCATTTGGGCCTGCCAGGGAGATTTTGGCCGTGGATAAAGTCACTGATTACAGATAGACATCAGACAATACTGCAAAACCTATCTTTGGTCTTGTTTGCTGTAATATGACTTCATATAAACAATTTCCTGGTGGTCTATAGTTTGTTTGAAGTGCTATGTACAGCATACACATAGCTATTTGTTGTGGTAGTCCTACATGTGCTCAGTGAGATTCAATTTTGATCTGACTGATACAAAGTATATGTATGGCTTGTTACAATGCATTTCTTGTTTGAACACAGTGAATGAAATATCAGATAAAATACCACAAATGATAAAATGAATTTTTCTTTGTAACAACCATTTGTAAAATATGTAATGTAATTTTTTAAAGTGCTTTTTCTCACGAATTGCTTTGCTATCATTAAATAACCCATACATTTATAGATTTAAATTGGATTTTTTTTTATTATTATTATTGAATACTGTTATGACAGCAATCAGCTACAAATAAATTCTGATAGCCATCAGCTAGCTAAATATGAAAGCAATTGCAAAATCAATTCCCATAATTAAACCAGTTCAATTTATTAATATTTATTACACAGTAAATATATTCAAGAATAGCATTAAATAGAGTTAAATTTGGATCTGTAAATTTAAGACAAAGGAAGTGGATTAGAAAACATCTATATCTTATTTCTAAAGATTGTGAAATACCAAGATGGCATAGGAAGATGTTTGAAAGAACAAATTCTGCAGAGGTTTTAAAAAAATCTGGAAGGAAGTGTGCTCTTGTTCAAGAATAAATAGAATCTGAAAAAAAAACAGATAGAGGAAAAGCTGTAATCAGCTCCTTGTAAATATTTATGCTACAGTTAGGCAGGAAGGTTTGGTTTTGTGTAGGATCTTTAGTCAGTGGCAAGAGCGGCTGCAATCTAAGTGAAGGACTGACATAGTTCATCTGGCTAGTGGAGGCAGGTTTTGCAGCTATAAGAGCTAATACCAACTGTGTGTGGCCGTATACTCTTGTAAAATCTGATTTGGTGGCTCCGTCTCATATATTTGATGTATGTGTTTATATACAAGGTAGATGTCATGTTTACAGCAAGTCTGATTTACTCTGCATTCTACCTTTGATCCACACTGTCTAGCAAAGAATGCTTTTCAAAAAGTTATATAATTAAAATTGGTGTAGTATTGTTAGATATAATCTAACCCGACAGGTGTTAAAAATATAGCAAACTCTTTTCTACATAATCTACCCATTTGATTTAATATTTCACATCTTCTCTGGATTACATTGTTTGGTGAATTGTTAAATAATAGAATATGAAATTCTTCTTGGGTGGTCCAGACTATAAATTAGAAAGGGGATTTTGTAAGCTTGCATCAGTTGAACTGGGTATTATATGAATGGTATTATGCTTGAACACACGCCATCTGAAGAAAACATGAAATCACGCAGCACACTTTGTGAGACATTGGACGATAACATAAACACCGTATCTAAAGTTCAAATGTACTTTTTTAAATGCCATGAGAAATGGGTGAGCAAGTTTGAGCAAGTTCAAGACGAATATTATAAAAAATCTCTCATTGTCAGCATAAAAGTGAAGATGTAGTTCAAACATTTAGATTGGGCATGTTAGTGTCTATTCCTCTCTATCACAAAAGTATCTTCACAAGCGGAAATGTTGGTAGATTTAAGAAAAATCACCTGATGGAAAGTCTGCCATAAAAAATCAAATTACTTTCCATCAGATCTACAAGAGGAAGTGGCTGCTTTCTGACCTGCCACAACCACATGTAGAGGTCAGGAGGTTAACATTGGAGGTCACAGGGTTAAACATGTCATAATTCACTAAACATGATTATTTTTTCTCTGACAACTTCGTATCATTTTACTTACTGACAAGTTGTTGTGATTTTCATTCAATTTTAAGTTTTCATTGTAATAACTTTTAAACAAACAAAAATGTCAGAAAAGATCCTGTTTTTCTTATGTGTTTTTAAAAAAATATTAAAACAGAGAGATGAGATAATTGTGGTGTTCTTGGAAGGAAATGAAGGAAAGGGCAGAGTGCCAATCTATGTGGAGATATTTATAGATACAGGCCAGAAATGCCTTCTACAAAGGCAGCACAGCATTTCCCTGATTCAAACTATGTTATTGGTCAATTCAACATGGGTCTGTGTGGTCTTGAAGAGGTATGGCTCCATGGGTGTAGATAAAGTCAAAGCGGTCTTGAAAATAAATAAAATAGGTTTTGTTTATGGTGGGCTTTGGGTATGGTCTGTATATCTGTCAGGTTTTGTTGCTTTAGGCTCTTCCACCTACTCCTAGTGTTTGCTTGTTTTAGATCTGGGCTGCTCAGGTGCTCAGCATGTGTTCTCTGATTAATCGGCTTTTATATATATCAAAATAAATGAAAATCCCTGGCATATAAATTGTTTGTTAAGATATTTCTATTATTTTAATGTAGAAATGTTAAAACAACTATAAAAATGAAAAGCAGTCATTATATTAAATATTTGATTGGTTATGTTTTTCAGATATTTCTTCAATGTACTGGCAGCCTTGGTTGTGATTGGTCTTTTGAATGGCTTGGTGTTATTGCCTGTGCTTCTGTCCCTTTTTGGACCAAAAGGAGAGGTCAGACCAAAGGGAGAACACCCTGATAGACTTGAAACACCATCACCAGAACCATCACCAAAACTTAAGAAAAAGGTGCCTGTGCGTGCAACAAGAAGCAGCCGGAGGTTATATCCTAGAGTTGCATCTGACAACTCCTTGACGACAATCACAGAAGAACCATCACAATATTCCTCTCATGAAATCATTGTTGAACCAGAGGTTGTCGTGGAAACCACCCAAGTTCCTGTGGGTGTGAACTGTGACAGCAGCAACAACAGTAGTAGAAATGTAAGTATTTCTCATACTCCAGGGTAGATGTAATACCTGTCCAATGAAATCTGTAGTAGTGTTACATTGTAGAAAGTATCAAATTAATTTAAGGCCAATGATCTGATTCGCTTTAAACTTAAATTTTTTTTTCGATAATATAGGCCATTAATATTTTTTTTACATAAACCATGTGAAGGTTAATGAATGACTGTTGTTCTCTGTATATTTCAGAGTACACCACCAGGGTCAACTGCCTCCACACCACTGGCATCCCACGTTACAAGGGTAAAAGCTACAGCTACTGTCAAGGTGGAGGTCCATACGCCTGTTATACCTGGTAAGTGTGTTATGTAAGGGAAATAACTCTTGCATGTAAACATATCAATTTCTCTACACGAGTGTTATACTCTCATCAAATTTCTGTCCCATGAACTATTTGTGTATTTCATATCTGATGTTTCTTATTGTTTTTCAGGAGGTACGGTTGAAATGTCAGTGTCTAATCAAAACCGAAAAAGCAAAAGACGGAAATTAAAAGAACTAGAAAATTCAGATTCAGATTCCAGTAGTAGATCCTAGCAGGTATGTTGAACATGGATTTTTATTTAGGTATGAAAAAAAGATGTAATCATTCAGCAGAGAAGTACAGCATATGACCTTTATTGACAGACTACAGGAATCTCTTAGAAATATTTCCTTTAATGACTTAATAATGAGAGGGAAAGCATCACATCTTCATATAGTAAAACTATTAGAAAATGTTATTGAAAATTTGTTTTACTTTGATAATAAGATTTGTTCTCTGTTGATTTCAGAAGATGTAATTCTGTTTGGAGGATTGGAAGGTGCTAAGGTCCTGAGTTATATAGACAGTTACCAGGCATCGTATGGGGATGTGATGTAAATGTCCTTTCTTCAATGCTGTGCCACATTTCTCAGTATTCTCTCAAACATGGTTGTGTGTTTTCCATTACCTGGAAGACTGTACCACTAAGTGCTAAACTGTGATGTTGGAGGTTACTTGATGGGTGGATGTGCCGTCTAGGATCCCTATAGCTGTGTCCCCGGCGTGGCACATCCATCCTTCAGGGAAATCGCAGAGTGACTGGACACTCCTATTTCTGTTCATACTTATTTACTTATTAATATAAAGGCAGCTGAACTTCAATGCTAGAGGACAGCTGTGTATGCTAATGGCCAGTGTTATCCTTCAGATTAATGCTAAATAAATCTCAGGTGTGTGAAACAAAACTTTGTTAGCAGGTGTGCAGCATGCAAGCTCAACTCATCAACTTTTATGTTGTTACGTGTTCAAAAAACGACATCTTGGAGATAACTAGGCAAGTTGTGTTGCTTACGACAAAAACATTTACGACTTGGATTCAATTAGTTATTTCTAAAACATATGGATGGAAACAGAGCCTGTTGTGTCAAGCACAGACTTCACCTAACCCCAAGAGTGGACTGTATATGTATTAAACGGGTGTCAATTGCCAAGCTTAATAGGCTTGTGGTTGCTTTTTCAAGGAAGGATGAATTATAGTGAAAACAACTCCCATATTGCAAAGGAAAAAAGAGTCATGCTCTTTTTTTATTTAATGTGTGAAGTAAGATAAAGACTTGAAGCTTTTTATTCAGACATGAGATGACATATGACATCAGATGATTTCTGCACTTGTCATGTGGTCTGTCTTGTTTCTGCTTACTACGGGTACTGTATGATAAAATTTATTATGTGTTGATTTGTCCTTAAGCAAATTTCATTTATAATGTTATGAATCCTGTTGATGTCAGGGGAGCTACTATATAATATTAAGATATAAAATGGGCCAGATTGTTGAAAGATTTTTGACGAGTTTTTTCTTTGTTGTTGATCTTGATGTTGTCATTTTTGGTCTTTTGAAATTTGAAAAGAAATATTTTGGATTTATTTGAAAGATTTCATGTTGATATATTTCCTTTTGGAAAGATTTATCAAAACCTTTTTTAAATTTCCATTCATATGTATTTATTCATCAAATTACTTAACCGTCAAAAATTGTTAAAAATTTCATTTTTTTTTATTTTGATAGATGTCACAATTCAGTCTTTGATCAATCTGGCTCCAGGTGTGAAATATTGACACCAATGTTTTAATAAGATAATTGATGTATTTTATTTATTTATGAATTCAAAAACAAATGTTATCACTCAGCAGAGAAGCGTAGCACATAATCCTATAATCTTTAAAGTATTACTAAATGGTGCTGTGCTTCTGTGCAGAGGTCAAGTTACAAGAGTTGTATAAATACTTATGTTACCATGTAAGATATTCTGTATGTAGGACTAAGTTTATTATCAGAGGTGAGATGTATAAAATGTATGATGATGTAAAAAATTATTTGACATTTATTGTGCTGTTATCACAATAAGATGAATAGGGATGCCAACAAGAAGATACAAAGTATTATACACTGGGATGTGGACGGCACAGATTTGGGGCTCAAACTCATTGTTTATAAATTATGTTGGAGCTGTAGCAAGGTTATTGTGAAGGGCATTGATAGTGATTTCAGCTGTTTGAAAAATGGGCATTACATTTATTTATATACCCAAAATTTTATTTATTATCCCTAAACTCTGTTGTATTTGAAATGTGGAAACAATTGACACAGTAATAAATTGATAGTGTAACTTTTATGGTATTAACCTTAATCAACATGATGAAAGATATAAAAAAGGAAAATATTAATACACTGACATCTTATAGGGAAAACGAAAGTGGAAATAAAATGCAGTAGGTTTATATTTCAATTTGTGCTCTGGGGTAGGGGAGGAAATCATAGAGAGAATCAAAGTGAGAGAGTTGGGGAGAGAAAGAGACATGAGGAAGGATGGAGTATGACTGGTGTGTTAGGGGAGGGGTGGAAAAGTACAATATTTCCCAGGTCTGTGCTGAACCAATACTCAATGTTGTAAGTCTTTTGTACAGCATTCCTTAGTACAACTTATCTTAATGGATGCTTTGGACAGATTTTTTTTTAAGTTAAAGATTAATTTTCGTCAACAGTTGATGTATTTTAACCCCCAGTTCCATTACATTATATGTTCTACTGTTATGTAAAAACTACCCTATTTATTTTAATGTTGCGATGTATTAACCCCTGATGTCCAAGCATTCATAAAGATAATCATTGTACACATATTGTAACATTCTTTTTAATTATTGAATGATTTTAAACCAAAGATGTTTTCATAAAAGTATTGTTTGTAGAACCTCAGGCATGTATAAAGACAATGGTGTCTTTAGTAATTTGCATTGTTAGTCCCCGCCTTGATTAAAAGAAAGTTTTTCATTCTGCTCACATCTCTTTAGCTCAGATAAGCAACATTTAAAAAAAATATCAAATGACTTAGAATGGCAAAATCTTCTTATTTCTATATTTTAATCTATGCAAAAATTAGAAAAATATGAATGCCATTTACTCTTCCTTTGTTTCATCAATATTTTTTTTTTCTCTCACATACGCCAAATAAAAATTAAAAGATTTTTTTTATTTATCAGGGTACAAACTATTAGAAATCCTTTCTGTGGCACAGGCTCATGATCTATATGAAAGCCTGAAGCCAGTATTGCTGAACTACAAACTTCTTTTTATCAAAGTGTTTTTTGTGTCCATCAATGCATTATATGCAAACACAAGAATCATACAATTCAGATAACATTGATATGTAAAATTTGGCCATTTTTTATAGAGTCTTTGAAAAAAACAAAATCAATGATCCATATTTAACTTAATGTTTAGAATTTTTTCCTGAACAACACAAATTCCCGATATTAATTTCTTTATTAAACACACAATATTTTCTGAACTTGTACTCGTGTTAAGGCCAGTTTTGAATGATTGTGAAAAATGGCAGGTTTGCGATGACAACTTACTGTGATAGCACAGTGAACTTACACTGCCGTATCTTTAAACCATAACTTTGTCAGTTTTTTTGTTATATTTACATTGATTCTTTAACATGTGCCCTTCATTGAGCCCCAGCCTGCCATGCCATACTATGGCAGAATGTCCCTGCTTTACCAAATAATACACACTTCAGTGACTTTCATTACCTCAGTATATAGGGCACACCATGTGGCAGGCCTGGGGCCCAAGATGGGGTGATTTGCCTGTGATAGGCCTTTGAAAGGTGTAAAATACTCAACTAAGATGTAAATGGTAGATTAATATTGCCCTTCTTACTGTGTTCAGGCCCCACAGAGAGGGGGTAATGTATGTGTAAACTACCACATACAAAAATAATGAATAAAATGAAAGAAATCAACTTACAATGGCTTGGTGTTTTGTATGTTAGTATGTTTTTTTTAAATATGTTAGAAAGGCAAATATGAAATAAGGTAGTCTTTGTTGGAGGGAATATTCTTACCTCAGAAAATCTTACATGTATATATCACTTGATGTGATGCCATGAGTTAAGAGCTTTGTATTGACAATATTTTATAAAATACAATGACTTACCTGTGTAAAGAGAGATTTACGTACATAATTACAGCTTTATCAGTAAAGAAATATGATCGAAGTTAATCATTGATATAAAAATATATGTCCAGTTTAGAATCGCAGCAGAAGTCTGTGATCAGAGTTCAGAATCTGTGTAGAAGTCTGTGATCAGAGTTCAGAATCTGTGTAGAAGTCTGTGATCAGAGTCCAGAATCTCTGTAGAAGTCTGTGATCAGAGTCCAGAATCAGTAGGAGTCTGTGATCAGTGTCCAGAATCTGTGTAGAAGTCTGTGATCAGAGTCCAGAATCTGTGTAGAAGTCTGTGATCAGAGTCCAGAATCAGTGTAGAAGTCTGTCATCAGAGTCCAGAATCTCTGTAGAAGTCTGTGATCAGAGTCCAGAATCAGTGTAGAAGTCTGTGTTCAGAGTCCAGAATCAGTAGAAGTCTGTGATCAGAGTTCAGAATCTGTGTAGAAGTCTGTGATCAGAGTTCAGAATCTGTGTAGAAGTCTGTCATCAGAGTCCAGAATCTCTGTAGAAGTCTGTGATCAGAGTCCAGAATCAGTAGGAGTCTGTGATCAGTGTCCAGAATCTGTGTAGAAGTCTGTGATCAGAGTCCAGAATCTGTGTAGAAGTCTGTCATCAGAGTCCAGAATCAGTGTAGAAGTCTGTCATCAGAGTCCAGAATCTCTGTAGAAGTCTGTGATCAGAGTCCAGAATCAGTGTAGAAGTCTGTGTTCAGAGTCCAGAATCAGTAGAAGTCTGTGATCAGAGTTCAGAATCTGTGTAGAAGTCTGTGATCAGAGTTCAGAATCTGTGTAGAAGTCTGTCATCAGAGTCCAGAATCTCTGTAGAAGTCTGTGATCAGAGTCCAGAATCAGTAGGAGTCTGTGATCAGTGTCCAGAATCTGTGTAGAAGTCTGTGATCAGAGTCCAGAATCTGTGTAGAAGTCTGTCATCAGAGTCCAGAATCAGTGTAGAAGTCTGTCATCAGAGTCCAGAATCTCTGTAGAAGTCTGTGATCAGAGTCCAGAATCAGTGTAGAAGTCTGTGTTCAGAGTCCAGAATCAGTAGAAGTCTGTGATCAGAGTTCAGAATCTGTGTAGAAGTCTGTGATCAGAGTTCAGAATCTGTGTAGAAGTCTGTGATCAGAGTCCAGAATCAGTAGGAGTCTGTGATCAGTGTCCAGAATCTCTGTAGAAGTCTGTGATCAGAGTTCAGAATCTCTGTAGAAGTCTGTGATCAGAGTTCAGAATCAGTAGGAGTCTGTGATCAGTGTCCAGAATCTCTGTAGAAGTCTGTGATCAGAGTTCAGAATCAGTAGGAGTCTGTGATCAGTGTCCAGAATCTCTGTAGAAGTCTGTGATCAGAGTCCAGAATCTGTGTAGAAGTCTGTGATCAGAGTCCAGAATCTGTGTAGAAGTCTGTGATCAGAGTTCAGAATCTGTGTAGAAGTCTGTGATCAGTGTCCAGAATCTGTGAAGAAATCTATCTTAATTTAGAATATGCGAGTTCAGAGTTTAGATTTGGTGAAAAAAAAAAGGTATAGAATCTGTAAGAAGGAATCATAGAAGCGAAGAGTTGCTTTTAGGTATCGGTGAAGAAGTATGGGATAGAGTTAAGCATTGATTTAGAAATATCACAGTCAGTGTAAATGTATCATCAGGATTTGAGATCTGTAAAACCTCTTACCAGAGTTTAGAATTAGAGTATTTAGCCATTGTAGCGTTTCAACAGGTCGCCATTATGTTGAGAATTTCTAGAATAAATTCTTGTTTAAGAATATAATCTCATAAAGTTGGACGGACACATAAAGTTTTAAACCAAGACTACAGTGCCCTACTAATGAATGGCAGACGTTATAATTGAAGTTGATGTTGCACCAAGGTACCGTTCGTCAAAACGTGCGCCAGATTAGAGTTGGACTTTTATAGCAGACGTATCTGAAGACCTTATTGTCCAAGTTTAGCATGGATATTGTGCATATATAAAAATAAATCTCACAGAGGTGATAGGCGTCTGTATGTACAACTTTTACATTTCCCTTTTAGTATAAGTCCTCTTTTACCATGAAGCAAGAATGGAAAGGAATGACAAGAATGTCGGTGTAGCGCATCATGTTGTGTTTCGCCTCTTTTATGGGTTTCGCTTTTTGTACATTCGATTAAAAAGAGGAAGTATCTCCTAGGCTTAAAATCAACGGATTGACAGTAATCGCTGAAAAGAAGCGTAGCCATTAGCCAAGGTTTAACGATCGGGGCTGTTAGACTTTCTATCTCAAAGTTAAAATCATACACATAGTTATACTAAACGTTTTCAAAATCTTCTCAAACGGTTTCAAGTAAAGTGTCGAAAGTGCAGAA